ATATTCAGCGTTATTAAGCCACCTCAACTGGAATCCTACCTGTCTGTCATCTGTGCCTTTACCAGCACACAGGAGCGAACACATAAAAAGTAAAACCTAACCTGAAGAAGATGGATGGGCTAAGGCACTTAGCGGTCTGGCAACTTGCTTCAACCAAAGTGTGTGTGATTGTGTGTGTGGTATATCAACAAGGACGTACACTGGCCTTGGCTAACACAATGAAAGCTAACTGTTGGGAAAACACAAGGATGGCTGGAACTTTCTCTCACTTGACTTCACTCGAGCTGATCTTCTCTGAGCTGGAGATCACCCAGCATGCTCTGCTCCACTTCACCCGTGGGCGGACGGAGCTAAAGCTCTGATATGATGAACTACCATTTCTGAAATGATTAACCACAAATACTTCACAGCCTTTTTGTACAGCCGCCCCTGAATTCACTATGTTCATTCACTCCTAAGAAAGGCTCAACACTTAACTTGACTATCTTAACTCTTACTTACATATCATACCCAAACTTAACAGACATGAGACCAGATGTCTAGGGGTGTTTAGCCACCCCATCAACAGAGGGCCTGGCTAGGCATAACCACTAATAACAAATAAACTCTAGTCCAGTACTTAAATGATGCAAAGGGTTCTCTGCTCTTGTGGAGTCGAGGAGCTGCTGTCCGTAACAGCCGGGCAGGAACCCTTTAGTCCATCAGGGACACACTGTGGTGAGACTGTCCTCATGGGAGAGGGGTGAATGGAACTGATGGAACGCTGCTTTGTTCTAACAGCAGGAAACAGTCCAAACTACTAGGGTGTCAGCTGGCAGGAAACTAGGGGGGAACACCTGACTGCTTAGTTAATAGGGCACCTGGGTGTCTGGTGACTGGAGAGCTAAGGACAGGGGCACCTAAAGGCCTGGCAACATGGCCTGACTAATAACCAAGTGCAGGACACTGTGGCAAGTAAAGGCTGGCAGACAGGTCCTACTACATGGTCCAACAGGTCTCCAGCAACCGCCTATCAGAGGCTGTTGGGGCTACCAGCAGGAAATCTGTACTAGGGGCAGACTTATCAGAGGAAACAGTCTCTGGGGCTGACACAGCCTGAGACTCGAAAGAGGGAGCGCTCTGGGCACCATTGGCAGGGAGCTGGCTTGTCCCCTAGAGCAGGACCAGGTGGTAGCTCTATGGCGTACAGCGTAAAGGGCTCCGGTTCTGGCGGAGACTCCCCAACCGGATCAGGACCTCCAGACGAGGGGGAACTGAGTCTTAGGGTCAGGAGCCAGATCTGAGCTGATAAAAGTATAATGCTACCTCGTCTTGGGTGTTATGGTGCATTCAAGACAACTGGGAACTCATGCTACCTCGTCTTGGGTGTCATGGTGCATTCAGGACAACTGGGAACTCTGAAAAATACGATGTCAGTGCTCTTCAGGTCGGAAAGTCCGAGCTCAAGAAAGAGGCCCGAGTTCCCGAGTTGGAATCCGAGTTGGATGACCGTTCAAAGCGATTATTCCCAGTCGGAGCTCGTTTTTTTCCCTCCGTTCCCAGTTGTTTTGAATGTGGCATCAGCCTGGGAGAAGTTACAGGAGAGATGGGTGGGACGAAATTAACACAATGTTAACTGATGACCTGGAATAAAATATAATATATGTTTAAACACAGGCCATTGTCTCCTCTAGTTCATATTGTTTTTATGATGTTAACAAAATATCAACAAGTGGCTGAATGTTAGAAAATTATATATGACATCATTACAATTATGCCTTAATCAATTGACTTGATGGATCACCTTCTCACATAAGCTTTTATCGACAGGTTAGGGGTTAAAAATATATACCTTTATGATTCTGGGGGGTTAATTACCTTGTGTCAAGCCATGGAATTGTGATAAGCATGATGAGTTTGCCATTTGTGAAGAGAATAAAAAAATATATATAATTCTATCAAGACAACTGGAGCATGCATTACAAGGACAACTGGAGCGCACTTGATTGGCCAAGCATGAATAGTCATGGAAAATGGTGAGAAAGATATCCTACTACATTCCCATTAAAGTGAGATGACAAAATGATGGTTAATATAGCTATTATGTGATCCATTTTTGTCTGATTAATAATGTAATCAAAATGTTGTGGTTGCGCAACATTGCGATGTTGACGCATGGTTCATTTTCATACATTTTGAACCTATAGCATGAATTATTGAAATCGACACAAACATGAAATGATGGCTGATAGTACATTTGTTGAAAGTAACAAGCATTACTAACCAGAAATATGGAGATAAGACCAATATTGTGCACTTCCCGCTAGCTGTTACTTCCATTCCAAGGCTGTATTTCTCCCGCCCCACCGGCCAACGTACAGAATAATACGATATGCTCCGAGACCAGGTTGCGCCGGCAGGTACAAAAGTAACTTTGCTGTAGTTCCATTCTTGGTCTATATAATTTCAAGTCATTTATACTAGAAACGAAATTACAGTTGCTAAGAGGACATATACATTGTTTGTCATAAAATATGATCTCTCTAGCGCTATCGATCTGTGAGTAATTAGGAAAGAAACGGTGTTAAAGTGTTACTTTCATCCCGGTTCTTTCCAACAGGGTAGTGTAGGATGCACCTTTCCAATAAATATCGAGGGTCTAATTCTGGTGACATGATGATCGATGCTTGACTGCCGTTTGACAAATAAAATATATTCTCACTCTTATCCATAATAATCTCATAATGTCGACTAGCCTACCCGCAAAGTATCTGCGAGCTGTTGACTAGAGCGCACGTGCCAAGACCACACATTTGCTATTTAGCGCAACAGTTTTTGTGACAAAACTATCCGTAGAGTTGAAAATGCGATGGAAACACATTGAATTGAAGATTTTTTTATTCGGTACATGAAAACTTAAGCGAAAAAGTACATTTTGTGTGCACTACGTCATGCAGTGATTTTTATATTCAACAAGTCCGTTTGGTGGAAACACCACTGATGGGAAAATGTGATTTTTCCTTTATGCGGATTTTAGAATATTTGCATGAAAATCTGTCGCAAATTGGATGGAAACCTAGCTAGTGTCCGAGATCGAGTCAAGACCGAGTAAAAATGTATCCGACATCGAGACAAGACCTTTTATAATCCATAAAAAGTGCTAATTCAACCCTGAAATGTGCTGACAATTCCAACTAATACACCAAGTTAATTTACTAAAATCATATAATTAGTACACAAACATATTTCATAAATTAATTTATTAAATTGCAAATAAAATACAGCAATAATGTACTATCATACTAGCAACTGAATTATTTTTTTATACTGTTACTGTACTTTAACAAATGTATAGCAATACTGTAGTACTTACATTCTATAATCAAGGCAAATATTTTAAATTGACAACCATGGAAAGGCAACATTAGGAAGACAGGTGATCCTGTCACTTTGGACTTAAAACAACAGAAACAGAAATGAGAATCATAGTTAGCTGACATCCAATTCTGAAAAAGTGATACTACATCTGCTTTCAATTCTCAGGTATTCACCGGGTTTTCCAGAAATCCTGCCTAAGGATTACGGATTTCTTGCTTATTCCCTTCAGAATTCAGGAATCTTCAAACTGGGATTTCTGGAAAACCTGGGAATTTTAGAAAATGTACCTGAATTGAAACCCTATTGGCACCCCATATGGTAGAAGTATTTACTGTGACAGACAAATCATAATACTGTCAGCTTGAAGCACTCAAAATGTTTTTAATCTCAGTGGCTAAATTGGACATGGTGACACGTTTGGTGGTCATGGGTACATCTATAGACCGTAAGATTAAACCAATCATTAAGATACCCCTATATACTCGTTGAGTATGTCAAAAATAATGTCAAAATGCTACTGTATCAATACAGACTGTGGTAAAATAGCTTAATGAAGTGATGGAGAATTACATGCAACTCACTCCAACTTTCTGGTATTTGGTACAGTATCTCATGTTACAAAGTACAAGGAATCATTTAGAGAGCCCTTCAATTACGACTGAAATTCCAAACATAAATACAGTTCTAAGCAACAAATGTGTTTTTCATGTTAGATCAGATAGTATATTAACTGAAACACATGTCATATCCTCTTGAGCATGGAGATAATACACTTGAAAGTCTATACTGAATCAGCCCAGGTGTTCTGTTACGTTAACAGGTCTAAAATAAAGCAATTTTTCTAGTCTGATGACAACAACCAAAGTAGTATCTAGTTGTAACCAGGTAATGATTAGACAATAATCTACCCATAGTGCAGTAAGACCCGAGGGAAATGTCAACCAAAACATTAGCATGTTGTGATTCTAGGAGTGTTGGAATCTTACCAAGCAATATCTTAAGACAAGCCAAATAATAAAACTGCATCAATATGCTGATAGGCTAAAATAAGTAAATTACTGTTATCTTCCACTTCCTTATCTTAGAAAATGAATTGAAGATTGGATTTCAAAATAATTAAATGATTTAATAACATTTCCTGAAAAAAGTGCTTTCTAACTGATTGGGTGCTAATTTGCATACTACCATTGCACAAATCAAAAAGGGTAGAATCTATTCCACAGATTTGTCACAAAACCAAAAACCAGAGTACAGTAGTTGAGAAACAAGAGATGTTTCTAGAAACTCTTGACGTCACATACAAGAGCTGTGAGAGGGACCTAGTTACTGATGACGTCATACTGTATTTTCTGTCCTCAGCCTTATGCAGAGTTCCCCCCCCCCCCCCCCCCTCATCGTTATTGCAGAGTGGTTCCCAGTTCTGTTGTCTCTAGTACTGGTGCTGTGGTACGGACTCATAGTAATGGATGGAACGGAATTTATGGTTTCCATGTGATACCATCCCCATTCAATCAATTCCAGCCATTATTATGAGACGTCCTCCCCCTCACCAGCCACCTCTGTACTGGAGGGTCGATAGCAACATGTACCTCTTCAAATAAAATCGTAGCCAGTCCCAGCCAGGCCTTAACCAATCAGAATGGTCATCTGGCTCCGGTGCGCTTGACAACGATAGTGCCAGCCACCATGTCATACACAGTCCTGTTGTGCTGGAAGAAGAACACCGTGATGAAGGCCGGGAATAAGAAGGCAATGGAGAAGTTTTTGTTCAAGGCTCGGACTGTTGACCTGAAGAGGGACACACAAACAAAACGTGTGAAAGTCTCAGAGATCATAGACACAAACTAAACGCGTGGAAGTCTCAGAGATCATAGACACAAACTAAACGTGTGGAAGTCTCAGAGATCATAGACACAAACTAAACGTGTGGAAGTCTCAGAGATCATAGACACAAACTAAACGTGTGGAAGTCTCAGAGATCATAGACACACCAACAACAAATGAGCAGAACATCAAGGGACTTCATCTAATAGCCAGACTGTCATGTGTGACCACATCACCACTTTAAAATCATGTCGGACAAGAGGTGTCAATACAAATGGCTGGTTTATTATTTCACACAACACGTGGATGGATAGAGGGGTGGTGTTTTGTGACCCACTACTTACAACAGAGAGAACTAACGTTAGTGCAGGCACCACAGGACCCGGTTTTGGGTTGAACCAGGAAGAGGAATCACAGCTGACCATCTGAGCCAATGAGAACTTTCCCTGGAGTTGGCGCCCCCTGCTCCCCACAATGCACACAAATTCCTTAAAGAGAAGATCAATCAATAATACCGTAAATTCCCCCCAGGGGGAAACTGTATTAACAACAGAGAGAAAAACAATGATAAAAACACAGAACCCATATCAAAGACAGAACATCATCACACTACAGGTTCATGACAAAGACAGAAAACATCATCACACACTACAAGGTCAGGACAAGACATAAACATCATCAACAACTACAATGTCATTACAATCTACCCCACCTCCTCCCCACTACACAGGTCCAGGACAAAGACAGAAAACATATCACACTACAAGGGTCAGACAAAAGACAGAAACATCATCACACTACCAGGTCAGGACAAAGACAGAAACATCATCCCCTGCAACTTCAGACAAAGACCAGAAACATCATTACAAATTCACTTCATCATGACAAGACAGAAACATCATTACAATGCAACTTCATACAAGACAGAAACCTCATCACACTGCAACTTCAGGAACAAAGACAGAAACATCATCACACTTTCACTTCGGACAAAGACAGAAACATCATTACAATGCAACTTCAGGACAAAGACAGAAACAATCATTACAATGCAACTTCAGGCCAAAGAACAGAAACATCATCACACTGCAACTTCCAGGACAAAGCCAGAAAATCATCATCACACTGCAACTTCAGACAAGACAAGGTTCACTGACCTCATAGAAACAAACTAATATCCGGTAGACCAGGGCGACCAGCATCACCTTCTGAGTTCCTCCATGGACGGTGTCTTCCTCATCTATTTCCTCCACAATGGAATGCATTGCAACTTGGAAATGTCCCTGAAGAAAACAAAACAAATGATTCTTCAATCATGACCTATATACATTAGTGTATGCACGCTACAAATTATCTTCAATCATGACTATATAGACAGTAGTTATGCACCTACCAATGATTATTCAATACTTTTACATTTTTTACATGTCATGTTTACATTTTAGTTCTTTAGAAGACGCTCTTACCAGAGCGACTTACAGTTAGTGAGTGCATACATTTTCATACTGGCCCCCCGTGGGAAACGAACCCACAACCCTGGCGTTGCAAGCGCCATGCTCTACCAACTGAACTACAGGAGGGCCAATCATTACTATATACAGTAGTTACACATGCTACAAATGATTCTTAAATATTGACTATATACAGTAGTAATGCACGCTACAAATGATTCTTAAATTGTGACTATATACAGTAGTTATGCACGCTACAAATGATTCTTAAATATTGACTATATACAGTAAAGGAATCACGCTACAAGGATTCTTCAATCATGACTATATACAGTAGTTATGCACGCTACAAATGATTCTTAAATATTGACTATATACAGTAGTAATGCACGCTACAAATGATTCTTAAATATTGACTATATACAGTAGTAATGCACGCTACAAATGATTCTTAAATATTGACTATATACAGTAGTAATGCACGCTACAAATGATTCTTAAATCGTGACTATATACAGTAGTTATGCACGCTACAAATGATTCTTAAATATTGACTATATACAGTAGTAATGCACGCTACAAATGATCTTAGTCTTAAATATTGACATAAAATAACAGTTTAGTAATGCACGCTTTACATTTTAGTAATTTAGCAGACGCCAGGAGTTCCCAAACTTTTTCACTCGGGGCCCCCCTTCCAACATTGGGGAACATTTTTTTATTTTTTTTATTTAACCAGGTAAGCCAGTTGAGAACAAGTTCTCATTTACAACTGCGACCTGGCCAAGATAAAGCAAAGCAGTGCGATAAAAAAACAACAACACAGAGTTACATATGGGGTAAACAAAACATAAAGTCAAAAATACAAACAGAACATATATATACAGTGTGTGCGAATGTAGTAAGTTATTGAGGTTAGGCAATAAATAGGCCATAGTGCAAAATAGTTACAATTTCGTATTAACACTGGAATGATAGATGTGCAAAAGATGATGTGCAAATAGAGATACTGGGGTGCAAATTAGCAAAATAAATAACAATAAGAGGATGAGGTAGTTGGGTGGGCTAATTTCAGATGGGCTGTGTACAGGTGCAGTGATCGGTAAGCTGCTCTGACAACTGACGCTTAAAGTTAGTGAGGGAGATAAGAGTCTCCAGCTTCAGAGATTTTTGCAGTTCGTTACAACATCCCGCGCCCCCCTGCGTGCACACGCCATGTCTATTTCTGTGGGCACAAGCACCGTTCATGACACAAACTGTTCACACCCCTCTTTTTGGTGGAGAGAATTTTGCAGGTTTAAAGCTTATTTCCTGCAATTCTACACATTTTGTCATGTGGTGAAAAGAAAATGTTGCAGTTTTAAAGCACATGTTCTTGCAATTCTATACATTTTACCATGTCTAATGTGAATTCATGTGATATTTGAGTAACTAAAAAATTACAACAATATCTATGGGCCGCCGACCCCTCGCCCCACAGTTTGGGAACCACTGACTTAGCAGATGCTCTTAACCAGAGCGACTTAAAGTAGTAAATAAAGTAGTACATACATTTTCATATTTATTTTCTGTACTGGTCCCCCATGGGAATCGAACCCACAACACTTGTGTTACGACCACCATGCTCTACCAACTGAGACACAGACATAGCCAACACATTCATTGATAATGGTTATTGTCCTTCATGAGGAAATTCCTTGTTTCTAAAATTTAAATAGGCATAGGTTGGGAGTCTTTAGCAACCCAGGCCTATAGCATATGAGCCTATGGTTTTAACTTTAGCAGACCACAGAGGGCACTATTTTCATAATTCATCACTATAACAGGCCTGGCATGTTGCTTTCTCTCAAACACTTCTTTAGCTATATAGCTATCATATTAGACACATGAACCAAATACAAAAAGAACAACATCTGTGTCTTTGATAGCTACCTGGTCGTTGTGCATTGCCGTTCTGTTGTGGTTGTTGTTGCGCTGGTACTGAAGTGGACACAGCACCATTCCCAGCCGTTTCCCCAGGCGGAATTCCAGCCGCGGGGATGGCGGGTGGATACGGCGTTAAGGGGAGTCCGAATGGATTATTATACCAGTTCTGGGCATCAAAATTAGGGAAATCCGCTGGCCAGACGGGTGCAGTGAATGGTTGCGGTGCAAAATACGGAGGAGCAGACACTGCCAGCCAACTTTGCCAGTTCACATTTGCAGTGTAGTACTGCCACATCCACCCCTGCAACTTTTCACAGTACTCCGAGGTTGTGCGTTTTTCGACAGTGCCCTTTCCACTTTCCGAAGTGTCTTGATGACGTAATTTTAGCTTATTTTCGACAATATCTAGCTTCTCTCTAATATTAAAAGACATATTTTGCTTATCGACTTGTTTGTTTGTGTTTTCCGAATCAGCCATGTTTAATGCCGACGTCACATCCGGTAGGATGTTTCCATTTCCGTGAAGAAAATATACGATTTCTAGAATAACATAATTACTGTGATAATAATTGCAAATATTTGGCGAGTAAGCTGTATTCAAAGTGGTAAACAATTTAGATGATAAAACAATCACTCACAGCAACATTTCATAAAATAGTTTCATCATCACGTTCCCAGCCTGGACGAAATTAATACCGTGCACTTCCAGCTATGTACCACTAAGGCGCAGCACTGCTACCGTTAAAGTGAAAGAGGCAGAGCATTGGAAATACACTGACTAGCCTTCTGTACCAGATAGTATTATTGACTGTTCTTCATTCCAATCACAACTATGGTCTTTTGTTCCAACCCATCACTAATAGCCATATTGTTTTCATCTATCCTGTTTTCAGATCATTGCCAAATAATGTCCAGAGAGAGAGGAGATCTTTGTTCCATTAAGGCCTGGTCAGACCTATAAATGTATATCCTTGAAACGACTTACATCTCACAACTTCAATGGATGATTGAGGGTGCAGTGTGCACCATCTTGTCCTGCAAATCTCCCACACTGTCTGTATATTTTATCTAGCAATAGTAGGCTATTTACCCACTCAAAGTGTGTTTTGCACTTTGAGAGTTGTGAAATTGAATGCATCTGATATACCCTCTAATTCCACCACTACTGCTTTTCTTTAACGTTTTACACCAAGCAAACAGTTAATAAGTTCAATTACAATTAAAACCTCCCAGAATTCCTTAGCCAAGCAATTTCCAAGAACTTGCCAATCAGTTCTTTGATGCCTCAAAATAAAATAAATCTGTTCAAAGGACCCCCGCCACTACCGCCGCGTCTAGAGAAAAATCTGAGGCACAAGGCCATTTTCAAAGAACTGCCCTAAGTAAGCTTAACCTTAACAACAATGGGGTATTCAACCGTAACAATCGGACACTCTGGGTTCAGACGTTCTTTGGGAGAACAGATTGTAATAGGAAGTCCCTGAATGTGTTCTCATGATACAGGGGACTGGTAAGTTGAGTAGGGGTGGAGAGGGGATATAGTAAGGAGAATGAAAGGGAAAATGGAGCGAAAAAGTTAAAAAAATGTCAGAGGAATGTGTTCAAATGTGTGTGTGTGCGTGCGTGCGTGTGTGTGTGTGCGTGCGTGTGTGTGTGCGTGAGTGCGTGCGTGTGTGTGTGTGCGTGCGTGTGTGTGTGTGTGTGTGTGTGTGTGTATGTGTGTGTGTGTGCGTGTGTGTGTGTGTGTGCGTGTGTGTGTGTGTGTGTGTGTGTGTGTGTATGCATGCCCTTGGTCTTATACAACTTGGCTAGGTCAGCTTTTCATTTATCAGGAGCAGGCTGCAGGAGCACCACCCATTGTCATAATCATTCACTAAAACCCCCAAATCTTTTGGAGAATTTGGCCCCAACCTACTGCCCCAAAAAGCCCTAATTAAAGGAATTAGGTGCACTTGCTTGGACTGGAAGTCTGTGGCCGCGTCCTGAATGGCACCCCATTACCAATTTAGTGCACTACTTTTGATCAGAGCCCTATGGGCCCTAGTCAAAAGTAGTGCACTATATAGGGAATAGAGTGTCATTTGGGACAAAGTCTGTGCGTCCACGACAATAAGCCTGTTAAAAATGAGGAGAGGTCACAACGTAGACCTTAAACTGGGATTTGGCCTCCCCTCTAGATCTCCCCATACATTCCCCCTGCCACTCTAATACTAGGTCTGTCTCAAATGGTACCCTATTCCCTTTATAGTGCACTACCTTTGACCAGGATCCATAGGGGGGCCCATAGGGCTCTGGTCAAAAGTAGTGCACTATATAGTAAATAGGGTGTCATTTGGGACGCAACGTAGGATCTCACATTCCGTATAGTTGTCGTTGTGTGTTTGACTAATAGCAGCATACCAAGGGACCCCATGGCATTTACTCCAGTTGTAACCATGCTGGTTTCATTTACTCCTCAGTTGTAACCCTGCTGGTTTCATTTACTCCAGTTGTAACCCTGCTGGTTTCATTTACTCCTCAGTTGTAACCCTGCTGGTTTCATTTACTCCAGTTGTAACCCTGCTGGTTTCATTTACTCCTCAGTTGTAACCCTGCTGGTTTCATTTACTCCTCAGTTGTAACCCTGCTGGTTTCATTTACTCCAGTTGTAACCCTGCTGGTTTCATTTACTCCAGTTGTAACCCCACTGGTTTCATTTACTCCTCAGTTGTAACCTTGCTGGTTTCAAAGTGTGTGCAAGACAGTGTGAGCTTTTGATCCAATAGTGGATGACTGTAAGTAACTTTGGATAAAAGCGTCTGCTAAATGGCATATTATTATTATTATACTTGATACATTTGGCAAATGCACTGTTTGAGGAATACGTTGGTCTTGGTTTTCAAGAAACACTCACGGATGTGTTGACTGAGCTATCGTGTGTGTGTGTGTGTGTGTGTGTGTGTAAAAAACCAAGACTTGCAACTCTAGTGACGCTATCATGACAAATCAACACTTAGTTTCAAAAAAGCACATGATATCATGTGTGAAAACTCTGACCATGAACCAAAAGACAGTTGGTCTTCTCCCAAGGGCTGCGTCCCAAATGGCACCCGATTCCCTTTATAGTGCATAGGCCTCTGGTCAAATGTAGTGCAGGGAATAGGGAGGCATTTGGCACGCAGAAAAGGTTAGGCCCGGGTCAAAAGTAGTGCACTATGTAGGGAATAGGGTGCCATTTGAGATGCATTAAAGGTTAAGGTTTTCAAATGCATCTCAACCCAAAGAGCCAGATACAAAAAGGTGCTTGTCATTAATTTGTCACTCTAGCTCCATTAGGCAGCAACAGCAATACTAATCCAGTGGTATTACAACTTTAAATTCTCAGAGTTTACTCCGTTCATGAACGAGACTGCTAATGCTGCGTTCGTAACCAAGTGGGAGGTGGGAATTTACCAGTTGTGAAGCCGTAAATACCAGTTCGATGCATTCACGTGCTTTGAACTCGTTGAGGAACACTGATTGGCTAACGGTCAACAAGCTACGTAAACCATAATCTAATGTCAGAGGTCACCATGTGGGAGAAGTGGGAGCTCAGGATGAGTTTCCCACTAGTAATTACCAGATGGAGGGCCGTTCAAGTGGATTTTCCCCAGTCGTATGTGGTAAATTCCCACTTAGTTATGAACGCAGCATAAGGCTTCAGGCATCATAAATGTCTAATGGGTGCTGGAAGGCTATGAAGAGGGCTGGACAGTACTCCCTCTGGCATTATGCATTCTTATTGGATATCACATTGATTTGGAGACCTGTTGACAACGAGCTCATTTGGACTGTAATCTTTCTGGGAGATTGCTGTATTTTGTTGTATTTGGTGGTTAGCCCATAAAAGTAAGGTCATATTGTTCAGTCTAATGGGAGATGGCATAACCTTTACTTTTTGGACTACATGACTACCCAGATGAGTACTCCATTCCATAGAAGCCTGTTAGAAGCACCAGCACATCTAAACTCTGACAAACTTTTTACATTTTTGGTGTCTTGAAATCTTACTTTCTAATTCTGGTCTTGGGGCTACATACTGACCGGTCATTTGTTAGGGCTAATTCATCCCAGAGGTAGGCCAACGGAGAACAGCCAAACAGAGAAAAATGAACTACTATATGTAGAATGTAAGCCTATGATAATCATTTTAAAATAGTCAACTTGGCACCTGTACGTGTAGTTTAAGAATTTTTTATTTTGGCACCCAGCCTGGGTAAGCTTGTGAATTATTTCCCACCCACGACGAATGGATTTAGGATTCAGCAAGTTTCCTACTGTAATACAGTTAATTTATTTTCAAAGTGATCAATCCCAAATGGCACCCTAGTTTTGACAAGGGCCCATAAGGTTTTTGGTCAAAACAAGTGTACTATAAAGGTAACAGGGTACCATTTGGGACACACTCACCAGTTTAGTAGCAGTGCGATGAAGACTTTCAAATAAGACCTTTCCTAGAGACAGTTGGAACAAGCAACGGCATTGATGAGGTCATAACAGCAACACTACCACTGGGCAGACCACTTGTTTGATCAGAATGGTGCTGAAAAGTTTACATAGAACAATCCTAAATGGTCAAAGAAAATCTGTTAATACACGAATACAGGTTTTAAAGTTTACAGTGGAATGTATTGTTAACAATAGGAAGGCGTTTAGTTGCCATGCCACTGTTCACAAGTCTACTGAGGCAATACGCTTAGTATTCCGCAGTGGTTTAGGAGTGACGATAGCCCAGTTTCCACAATAAAGACAATGTCCCGACTAGTCAGTCAAGTTTAGCTTTTGCATTGTATTGTAGACAAAAAGGTACATGTTTTGGACATTCCACTTGGTCACCTGCTCTCAAAATAGGTACATTGTGAAAACAACGTATTCTGCAGTGTATGCTTAGCTTACTTTATCTGAGCGCTACAATTACATTGCAATTTACTGGACATGAAAAATTACGTGGCACTGAAACGCATTGGAATGTTTTCACCACCTACAACCAAAGTACTCAGGATAGACCTTCACTAGAGGTTTGCTCATTTGTAATCCACATGGATTAAGTTGGATGAATAGGATTTAGCCTCCAAACTGACCTAGACATCGCAATGAAGGAAATACCACTTTTCACAAAGCAGAACAATTGACTTTATTGAAAGCGTCATGGGATTTTAGTACCAATTGAGTAGTCAGTGCATTTAACATGGTGGGTATTGAACAGATAATATGAAAGATTTGGATTTGCTGGTGGGGGTTCTTCACTTCAGCAACAGACTGGAATCACACCTCTTTCTCATAGGTCCTCACCGCCACCACATCATCCATTACACATTTCTGGGGGGAAAAAAGAGCAGTGCAAGCTTTAGGTCATGCAATGCAGTGACGTCATGTCAGAACCTAGAACTCAAATGTAATGTCACATTCAGTGTGCAGTGATACAACCACCAAATCATCCTAATTGTGTCAGTGGGTCATTGTAGTTACACTTAAAAACTGCATTTTCTGAAATGAGCCAAACCACATTAACTTTTTTTGAAGTGCATCTTCACGCATGCTAAATGTGACAGGGTAGGAGTTACTACCCTATCACAGAAATATAAAAGGGGAACTGACAAACAATGTCGGGTAACGAACTGAGAGCATACATAAGTTGACAGGTTTTAGCCAATGGTGTTTAAACCCTGGATGACTGACCGGGGCACTGCATTGATGCCACTGCCCAGCCATCTTAGTACTCATTCGCAAAAAGATTTGGGAAGCTATAGAAATGCATTTATTAATGTCTACATTCGTTTGACACATTTATTATATTACAGACACTAATGCATACTTCTAAATTATATTATGTGAGCAAAAAAACAACAATTTCCTTAAAGTATTTTAGAATGCACTAACGTTACTGTCCCCACTAAAACAGTATAAAAAAAAAAAGTGTAATTTTGTCGTTGAAACATTCATTGAAATACTGTAGAAATCCATTCATTCCTATGGAGGACTGCTTCTACTGGATAGTGACAATATGGCCGACCGGTGGCATCAAAGCCTCTCGATGGCATTATATACGTAATTGGTTTTATTAGCAATGTCTAGATTCCCAATGCAGCGTTTTGTAAAAAAGAAAAAAGTGGGTTGCACATGATTGCAAGTGTTTTTCAAGCCACGTTTCCCAGCCAAAACTTTGAAGGACATATGGAACACGTTCGCGCGTAAAAGCGCGTGCCATCCTTGCTGACACAGGGGGAGAATGCAACTTGCAAGAGATGGATGACATTAACGTTTTTTAAATTGCATAATGATGATAACATGCAACATTGCACAATTAAAACTTGGATGGAACAATATTGCAATAAATATGCAATATCAAGCATAAATATTCAAAAATACGCTTATTATTAACCATGCATATTTTATTTCCAACCAAGCAGAGAGGGGAAAGCAATCAAGTTTGAGTAAACCTTACCGCTATCAATTTTCCATCTTGCAACTCCCGCTCGAGTGTGGTGGTCTTGCCGTCCCATGTCTGTTTTTGGACCAGTTTTCCGTTCTCAAAGGTCACCAGAGTCTGGAAATAACGTAGTGTCAGGAGGGCACATAACTCCATCTCAAGTTTAAAGTTGGAAAATGTCAATTGGAAACCACACTACTGTAACAACCGGAATTTCTATGGTGTGGCTGCTGCACCCACCTTGGTTTTCCTGTCATCTGCAGTCATCTCGTCGAATTCTTCATTCAATTTAAACTTGGTCTCTGTAGTTTTGAATGTGCTCTGGGATTTCATTGATATTACGCCGTCGTCGATGCTGAACAGCAAGTTGGGCTTCGCCATATTCCCCATCTGCCGAGTTGCAAAGCCCACACCTGTGAAACAAACGGATATTTAGCTAGCCAACTTCAGTAAGGTTCTAGAACTACATGCAACATTGTCGTTCATTAAAAACAGCTTTATTTAAAGGTATACTTGACCTATTGCCTTCATATATTCATCAAAATTCTCGCTGGAAGTCATCTTCCAAGTTCCAACGAATGCCTCGACCATGCTGTTAGTTTAAACGACTCGCTCCACAAACAACGTCAACTCACAAATGCACACTGATTCGACTACACAACAATTACATCTGGGCCCATTGTCATATTTGAAGCCTCCCCTACCACGTGCTTACCCATGCAAGCCAATCAAGCGCTATATCTGGTGCTTCCATGGAAACAGAGAGGATGAGGGGCGGGGTATAAATTATTTTAAAGCAGGGGCACAGACCGTACTGTCTTTGGCAGGGGTCTTCAACCTTTTCTTACCAAGGGACCCCCTCCCAGGCAAACCGGAGACCCAGGAACCCCCATCACATGTTAGCAAAAATATACTTCACCTATCTTGTCTTATCATCAGGTGAATGATAATGTCAAGGAGAAGTAATCAACATTTTCAAATGAATAGATTTGGTAGATCGTTTTTCATTATTTTGACCTCTCCACATTATAGCCTAATTGGAAGAGAATGTGTAAACTCTAACATAGCCAATTAGCTAGAAAGGTAACTCAAAACAAATTTTCGCTAAGAGCAGCTGTTTAGCTGTTTAAACAAAGGTTAAAGACAAGAAGGTGTACAGGCAAAAATTAATGTCCAAGTGAAGAAAGCCTACCAGCAGCTCTTACATTTTAGCAGATGCTCTTATTCAGAGAGACTTACAGGAGCAATTAGGGTTAAGTGCCTTGCTGAAGGGCACATCGTCAGATTTTTCACCTAATCAGCTCGGGGATTAGAACCAGAAACCTTTCGGTTACTGGCACAACGCTCTTACCCACTAACCTACCTATTATTATATTATAGATCGATTGACTATGACTTTTAAAGATCACCCAGTAATGCTATCTGCAAGGTTAGCTCCAGGTAAATATTGCAATTCTTTAGCCATTCCTGTACCTGTGTCCAAAAACAAGCTACAAATGGACAGTACCAAAACAAATGATCTAATGATTCTGTCTCTTCGCAGCAAAATCTGCAGAGCTGGGAAGATTGTATCCCCCATATAAATAACATTCTATTGGTAGCAAGATTTTTATATAGCCTAATAATTTAAATTGAAAGATTCTAAGTTTTGAATCCAGTGTCGTTTTGCGTATCAGTTCATAAACACTATGCCATGGGATCGGTACGTCAAAAATCTCTTCCCAACTATTTTGCAATCTATATGGGACGGCTGTCAAGCCTTTGGTCCTTAAATGAAACTGGTATACTTTTTTATTTATCACAGTTTTCTTTAACCAATTATGTTCTTTAATGCAAGGCCGACAGACAAGTTCCTTACTTTCTCCCCCTTCCACTTTCGTCTTCCATTTTTGCGGTAAGGCTGCAATTATTTGGTTGTAATTTTGGGTAGAGCAGACATTTCCATATGTTTTTGTTAGCTGCATGTGAGACATAACTCCACCAGTCCTACCGATGATATCATTTACGAAGATTATACCTTTTTTAAACATTTTGTCAAATAAAATAGTTTTTCTGTCAATTAGTATATTTGAGTTTAACCACAATATTTGTTGCATTATTTGTTCTGTCGTTTCTGGAGGATTAAATTGAAATTGCAACCAACTTTCTATGGCTTGTTTTAGAAATAGTGATATTTGGTAGATTATTTCCTTTTCAAATAACTGAAAGTGAGAGGTTGTAAGCTGAATAAAGGGAAAAAGGCCATTCTTGAACATTGGGTGAGACAATCTTACTAATTTGCTAGAGAACCAGTTCGGATTTAAGTATAACTTTTGTATGATTGAAGCTTTTAGTGATAGGTCTAATGCTTTAATATTTAATAACTTCTGTCCTCCGAATTCATATTCATTATATAAATAGGCCCGTTTAATTTTGTCTGGCTTGCCGTTCTAAATAAAACGGAATATTTTTTTCTCATATAATTTAAAAAACTGTTCGCTAGACGTAGGCAAGACCATAAGCAAATAGGTAAACTGGGATAATACTAAAGAGTTAATCAGGGTGATTTTTCCACAAATTTACCTTTCCATGGTAGCAAGATCTTATCTATTTTTGCTAACTTTCTATTAAAATGTATTGGAGTGAGATCATTTATTATATATGTATTCCGAATATATCCACATCACCATCAGACCATTTTATTGGTATACTACATGGTAATGTAAAAATTGTATTTTTTAGTGATCCAATACGTAATTTAAAAAAAAAAAATTATGTCATTTAGCAGACACTCTTATCCAGAGCGACTTACAGGAGCAATTAGGGTTAAGTGTCTTGCTCAAGGGCACATCGACAGATTTTTCACCTAGTCGGCTCGGAACCAGCTACTAGCACAACGCTCTTAACCACTAAGCTACATGCTGCCCATATAGCACATTTGTCATAATTTGGTTGTAATCCAGAGAGGTTAGAAAATGTATCTAGATCCTCTATGAGGCTGTGGAGCGATTCTAGTTGTGGGTTTAAAAGAAATCATGAATCATCAGCGTACAATGACACCTTTGTTTTTAAGCCCTGGATTTCTAATCCCTTGATATTATTGTTGGATCTGATTTTAATAGCTAACATCTCAATGGCCATAATAAATAGATATGCCGATAGTGGACAACCTTGTATCACTCCTCTTGACAGTTTAAAACCTTCTGAGAAATAGACATTATTTACTATTTTACACCTAGGGTTACTATACATGATTTTTACCCATTTTATAAGAGATTCTCCAAAATTGAAATGCTCCAGGCATTTATATATAAACCCCAGTCGTACTTTATCAAATGCCTTTTCGAAGTCTGCTATGAATAGCAGGCCTGGTTTCCCAGATTTTCCAGTGTTCTTTTGTTTCCAGTACTTGCCTTATATTATCTCCAATGTATCTTCCATGTAAAAAACCTGTCTGATTAGAATTAATAATGTCCGACAATATAAATACCTATTTAATTCTATGCGCTATACATTTTGCTAGAATTTTTGCATCACAACACTGAAGTGTAAGGGGCCTCCAATTTTTTAAATGGACTGGATCTTTATATTTTCCACTTGTATCCTGTTTCAGTAATAATGAAATCAGACCTTCTTCTTGAGTGTCTGATAATCTACCATTTACATAGGAGTGGTTAAAACATGCTAATAACGGTCCTCTTAGTATATCAAAAAAGGTTTGGTATACCTCGACTGGTATGCCATCCAACCCTGGAGTTTTCCCGGACTTAAAGTCTTTAATTGCATCCAGAAGTTCCTCCTCTGTAATTTCACCTTCACATGAGTCTTTCTGTATGGCTGTTAATTTAATATTATCAATAGAAAAAAATCTCTACAATTAGCTTCAGTTAGAGGAGATGGAGGCGACTGAAAAGAAAACATATGCTTAAAGTACTTTGTTTCTTCCTTCAAAATATCATTTGGTGAATTATGGGTGACTCCGTCAATTGTAACCAGTTTCATTAAAAAAAAATTGGTAGCATTCCTATGTTGAAGATTTTAAAAGAATTTGGTGCAATTTTCCCCATATTCCATCCAGTTTGCTTTATTTTTATAATATATTACACTTGATCTTTCTTGAATAAGTTTCTCAATTTCTTTTTGTTTTTCCTCTAATTTATTCTGAGCCTCTATGTTACAGTTTTTTATTGCCATCTATCTGTTCTGTTAGACCTTCTATTTCCTTTGTTAGTATAAACTCTTTTGACCTAAATTGCTTTTGTTTTCGAGATGAGTACTGAATTGCATGGCCTCTAAAGGCACATTTAAAGGCGTCCCATGCAATAAGGGGATTTGCTGTATGCTCTATGTTATTCTGTCCCCTATCAACACTTTTTAAACTTTTGGTGCCAACGAGAATTACATAAGAAAGAAGTCAAGATGACAAGCTTGATTGAGTCTCCACCATGTATATCTCACTAGATCAGGATATGTAAGCCTCCATATATCTACTAGTTCTAATGTATCCATGACATTTACGATTTCCTTAAGAGCATGAGGGTGATTGTTTGTGGTGTAATTTCCTTTACGGTCCATTATTTGAAGTGTTTCTAAAATCCCCTATGGGAAAAATGAATGGTGGAAAAATTATTGGAACCATTTCCCTGTTTGACCGCTAGTTTTTATGGGTATTATGAGTCATACTGCGGTACTCTATCCCCACCCTGCAAATTCTATTATATTCTGTTCTATTCTTTTCTATTCAATTCCATTGTAAAGCAGTGAGGTCCATTGAGCCAGCAGATGGTGCCAGTGAACAGCATATTGAACGACATTCCACGTCTTTATTTATTTTTCACAGAAAACTCCATATTTTCCTCCAACAAAGTTTGTGTGACTGAGTAATACATTGTAAAGAACAGGGGAGGGAGTTACAATCTAGAGGGACCTGCATGGTTAATGTTATTAACATGATTGTCCTTTATGTACTCTGAACAGTTCATGACTCCAGGACCAATAAAATACATTCAAAATAGCTTTTGAAGTTTTGTGATTGTATTTTCAGAAATGGTAGAATATGGCTCATTTTTCGTTTCCTGGAAAGTTTCAGTTATGGAGATATGAGGTTTTCTTGCCCTGGGACACTACAAACCTTACAGTAAGGATTTGGCTGCAGCAGGTCTCCATCACTAGTTTTCTACTGCCACCCAATGGTCTCTAGTGGTTAAATTGCATACTGTCACAGCAGGAGCTTAAAGGGCACATCTACTGTCTAGATCCCAAATGACACCCTATTCCCTATTGTGACCTACTTTTGACCAGAACCCTATGAGCCTTAGTCAAAAGTGATCTACTGTTGTCTATAGGCTTCAGTATGTGTCATCCAGCTGCCACATGTCCCTCCATCTCTACCTCGATCTTGATCCCACTATAGTCTCCTGCCCAGACCAGACTATATTAGTGGGGTCAGACCAGACCAGACCATATATGAGTGGGGTCAAGGGGCAATGAGTATTTCCTCCAGCTTTTAATCACTTCCTGGGTGTTCATGGAGGCAACAATGGCACTAAAATGAAGTTAGGAGACTGTGTCTCAACCAACCCTAATCTCGTCAACCCAGAACCAAAATCTTGTGTCTGTCCACGAGAGATTACAACCAGCCAGTCAGCCAGTCAGCCAGCCAGCCAGCCAGCCAGCCAGTCAGCCAGTCAACCGGTCAGCCAGTCAGTCAGTAAGTCTCTCTGCTATATTACTGTTAGCTCCACTTTGCTCATATATAAAACATATAGTACATGCAGATGTAGGATCTTAATTTGAGCCAGTTTGTTACAGCAGGAAAATAATGAATTATTATGTGGATTTTAATTAATGGACATTTTTGTAGGGGATGATACATTTTTCTTTAGGGCAAATCAAGTCTGAAATTTCAAAGTGGAAATTACAAACTTTAGAAGTCTTTTTAAAACTCAACTACACTATAAGTGTGCATTTCCTGCTGTGGAGGACAATGCTCAGCAACAAAAGAGTGATCAAATTAAGATCCTACATCTGTATGCAACTCCTTCATTCACCTAAAACCAAGAACAAACATCACTGAAACTGATAAATGATTTGAATTTATTTGAAGTGATGTGGGAAGTGGACTAAATACTCTAAGACCCACAACAGCTCATTGGTAAAACACATGAATCCTGAGCATTGATCAAAAAACATGTATCTTCTTACAAACTCAGTTTATTGGTATAAAAATATTACAAAACTACATTTTTTCAATGTTGCTTTCTATATAAAGCATGTTCGACAAACCCATATAGACCTTTAACAGAACTAATGTATTAGCAGATCCAGTTAACGGGTAACTCTATTTATGGTACATTCCAAATGTCTCTGTTCTCTTTCTAAGCTGCAGGAGGAATATTTTTACAATATTATATTTGACCTACAAACACCCTCATAATCCTTCTCTTAGTGCATTCTGATAATAAACTAAATTAAATCAGTTAGTGGTCATGCAAAAATCGTCAGTCCTTTTCTACCTTGGAGGCCATACCTGGGCTCACACCAACATTTAACATGAATTGTTCATGATAAAAACATAGAGGATAGAACACTATGTTATCTATGTTCCTTTATACAGGATTACTGACCAAGGGAGGGGGCATTAGCCTACCCCACACCCCTCATTGCCAAAGGGGAAAAACAGATGAGACAGCCAGGTACCCCTGCTGGGTTTGTGGAGTGTTGGCAGGAGGCAGGTTGGCAGGTTGGCAGGAGGCAGGTTGGCAGGAGGCTGGTTGGCGGGCATCTTAGCTGTTGCCTTTCATCCTGATCAAAAGAGTTCAGAAGGCCCCGACCTCTGTCCCCCAGGGCCTGTAAGGCTGATTTCTCAGGGCTGTGGAGGGGCCTGCTGGGTTGAGGGCTGCTGGGGACACCAGGGGAAAAGTACTGAAGGAGAAGGCTGACAGGGAGGAGAGGGAGGAGAGGAAGGGTGGTGGTGGGGAGAGCTTGGAGGCTGAGACGGGCAGGGCCAGCCCCAGAGGTAGAGTGTCATTGGGGGGCACCCTGGGAGGCTCTGAGGGGGCCGTCACACCGAGTCCGGAGGTCACTGGGGCATCAGTAGAACAGGGGGATGACATGGAGGAGGAGGCTGCTGGTACTGTGGGGGGCTAGTGTCCGTCCCTGGGGGATTGGTAAGAGGAGGGGGTGTGGCAGGTGGGCGGAGGGTGTCCTCAAAGCGGAGCCCCAGGCTAGTTGTCCAGGGTGTCCAGTCAATCCAGTGTGGATGTCTCTCTGAGAGGCGTAGTTGTTGAGGTGGGAGACCAGGCGTACGCGGAGTGGGTCGACACTGTTCCAGCCCTCCATGATGCTTAGATAGCGGGCCGTCTCTGACAGGCACTCCCTGAAGCCCAGGCTTCGGTAGTCCTTGGCCAGGGCATGGGCTTCAAAATACCCTACCAGGAGAGGGAGGCAGAGGGTCAGCAACAGCAACTACAAAACATAGGAGTATACAGAGGGCTACAGAACTAGAGGAACAAGAGGACATGGAGATACTTGGTTCTAATTCTGTATTGGAGCTTGGAGGATATGCCTAGTTCCCTACAAATATGCAGAAGTTTTCCTAGAAGTTTTCCTATCACAACATATTTTTTACAGGCTGTCATCATAAATCAAATATTTGTATTGTTCTGGTATTGACTCACCTTGTCCGCTGGCAGCATGTAGCATCTTCAAATGATCCACAGTAATTTGCAAAATTTCAGCTTTTTCCAATTTTGAAGATCCCTGTGACAAAAGCCAAGAATTCGATTAGATTGTGTTACTTGTAAAATAACACAGTCTTCACCAAAGATGTAGAAAAGGCGGAAGTTGACTATTGAGATTAATATACTCTGAATCCAATTGGTCTGTACAGTATATACAATTTTACTGTAGCCTACCTGCTTCTCAAACGCACTTGGCACAAGTCTTCTGAGATCAGTCAGGCTGTTGTTGATTCGGTCACGTCGCCGTTTCTCAATAATCTGAGGATGAGAGGGAGGTATAATATGATTTCGGGGTCTCCGAGAGCATATCAATGTGATGGGGAACCTCAACAATGGCGATATTCGGTGCTTAATTACGCAAGAGAAATGTAATACTCACTCCTCTGCGTCGTTTTTTGGCTTGAGTTTGAGTGGTTGTCGGGGGTGACATCAAGTCATGGGGAGAGTCAAGGTTTCTGAAATAATCAAAGTAATTTTCATTTAGTTTCAATAACAAATTGGTGACGATAGGCTACTGTCACGCATAGCCCTTTTCCCAAGAGACTGGGTAGAGAGAGATGCGTGGTTTAGATTAGCCTACAAAAAAATACACATTAGGCCTTTATCAGAATGACAAATACAATTATTTTCTCATAAAACATTTTTTTTCCTATTCTTCATAACTGCATTTTCAACATACCCATTTTCGTCACCACTGTCCTTCTCCACTTCTATATTGTCATCAAGTTCGCTATCAGATGAACAGCTGTAATTGTGATTTCGTTTCATTTTGCTCCAGTATCGCAAGTAGCAATATTCAGTATAGATTGTCCCTCAACCTGAGCTCCGCAAGTTCTGTAAAAGCAACGGTTCTGCGCAACTGTTTAAAGTCAAGCCTTGTTCTCAGGGAATTATTTTCGTTCTCAGGGTATTCTATTCAGACCATGTAGCTTTAAATGAGATGGAATAGGCGGGCTCTAAAAGTACTAAGCCTATTAAAATCAAGCTGACGTTTGAGTGACATGTTTTGTTGTTTTCACTCAATTAGTTTTCCAACGAGGACCAAGACAACCAAGGGCCGGGGCCCCTCTGGATCACGGTATGGGTGATAGAAATATAATCAGTAGACTCAAAATTCAGGCCTAACATTAGTTAAAGATGGACTATGCAGAAATCGCTCCGCAATTTCCTGGTCGCTAAAATTCTAACAGTTCGCCTAATTTCAGTTTATGCAAAAACCTAACTTTTAATTTGCTTTATTATTTTTATTTTACCCTTATTTTACCAGGTAAGTAGAGTGAGAACACCATCTAATTTACAGCAATGACCTGGGGAATATTTACAGGGAGAGGAGGGGGGATGACTGAGCCTATTGGAAACTTAAGAATGGGAACCATAGAAATAGCGCATATAGAACAGATCTACCGCTTCTTAGACTTGCTTTCAATGAGAATGACAGATCTATAACTCACATTTCTATGTGAATTTGGTCGAGTAGCCCAAAATGTTACATATTGCAGCTTTAAGACAACCCACAGAATATATTTTGAACCACCACTAAATAAATAGTTTTAACCTCCTCAAGGATGTGTCCCAAATAGCACGCTATTCTCTATGAAGTGCACTACGTTTGACCAGATCCCTATAGGGTGCCATTTGAGGCACAGACCAAGACTCCCAGGCAGCCAGCCTGGTGGTACAAAATAATCAAAGGTCTGACTGCACGGAGATGCTTGGGAAAATGGTTACAACGGGGGACCAGAGTGTTTGTGTTTCAGTGGAAGATCTCCATCACCAGGACTTGACATAGGTTAAGCAAATCTCACATTTCTGTCAATTTTTGCTCAATCTTGCATGCTTTCTCAAACAGCTGTAACTGTATATGCATTCGTAAATCAGGTCCTTTCTTGAGTTGGGCTCTGGGATGTAACAACCGTTGAGCATGAGTTTATGGTTGATTGTGGAGGAAAGGGGTTGAGTGTGTAAGAGTATGTGTGTGTGTGTGTGTGTGTGTGTGTGTGTGTGTGCGTGTGTGTGTGTGTGTGTGTGTATGTATCCCACATCTGTTGCAAGGGGGTAAGGATGTTAGGGAGAATATAGGATGAACCACAATAATACTTTTCTAAAATAATAATTGCTTGACAAAAATGTAATGTAATACAATTGCAATCTGGGTTATACAGTGGCTTTCGAAAGTATTCACCCCCCTTGGCATTTTTCCTATTTTGTTGCCTTACAACCTGGAATTAAAATGGATTTTTGGGGGGTTGTATCATTTGATTTACACAACATGCCTACCACTTTGAAGATGCAAAATATTTTTTCTTGTGAAACAAACAATAAATAAGACAAAAAAACTGAAAACATGAGCGTACATAACTATCCCCCCTATCCCTAAAGTTTTGCTTTAGCAGTATGTTTAGGGTCATTGTCCTGCTGGAAGGTGAACCTCCGTCCCAGTCTCAAATCTCTGGAGGACTGAAACAGGTTTCCCTCAAGAATTTCCTTGTATTTAGCGCCATCCATCATTCCTTCAATTCTGACCAGTTTACCAGTCCCTGCCGATGAAAACGATCCCCACAGCATGATGCTGCCACCACCATGCTTCACTGTGGGGATGGTGTTCTCGGGGTGATGAGAGGTGTTGGGTTTGCGCCAGACATAGCGTGTTCCTTAATGGCCAAAAAGCTCAATTTGAGTCTCATCTGACCAGAGCACCTTCTTCCATATGTTTAGGGAGTCTCCCACATGCCTTTTGGCAAACACCAAACGTGTTTGCTTATTTTTTTCTTTAAGCAATGGCTTTTTTCTGGCCACTCTTCCTTAAAGCCCAGCTCTGTGGAAAGTACGGCTTAAAGTGGTCCTATGGACAGATACTCCAATCTCCGCTGTGGAGCTTTGCAGCTCCTTCAGGGTTATCTTTGGTGTCTTTGTTGCCTCTCTGATTAATGCCCTCCTTGCCTGGTCCGTGAGTTTTGGTGGACGGCCCTCTCTTGGCAGGTTTGTTGTGGTGCCATATTCTTTCCATTTTTTAATAATGGATTTAATGGTGCTCTGTGGGATGTTCAAAGTTTCTGATATGTTTTTATAACCCAACCCTGATCTGTACTTCTCCACAACGTTGTCCCTGACCTGTTTGGAGAGCTCCTTGGTCTTCATGGTGCCGCTTGCTTGGTGGTGCCCCTTGCTTAGTGGTGTTGCAGACTCTGGGGCCTTTCAGAACAGGTGTATATATACTGAGATCATGTGACACTTAGATTGCACACAGGTGGACTTTATTTAACTAATTATGTGATTTATGAAGGTAATTGGTTGCACCAGATCTTATTTAGGGGCTTCATAGCAAAGGGGGTGAATACATATGCACGCACCACATTTCCGTTATTAATTTTTTCAATTTTTTTTCATTTCACTTCACCAATTTGGACAATTTTGTGTGTGTCCATGTCACGATCGTCTAATGAGGAGGACCAAGGCGCAGCGTTGAAAGTGAACATAGTATTTATTAGACTGATCAAACGATCAAAATAACTGACGAAAACGTGATGTCTCTGGTTACATAAACAAACCAAAATGAGAACAAGAAACCACAACACAAAGTGAAAAGACCGATAGTTAAATATGGCTCCCAATCAGAGACAACCAGCTGACACTCGTTGCCTCTGATTGGGAGTCACTCAGGCCAACATAGATATACAAACATAGACTTACACACCCTGGCTCAACATAACATAGTCCCCAGAGCCAGGGCGTGACAGTACCCCCCCCCAAAGGCGCGGACTCCGACCGCGCCAAACAACCACAACAGGGGAGGGACCGGGTGGGCACTCCGCCTCGGCGGCGGATCCGGCTCCGGACATGACCCAGGCACGGGTTGTGCTGGACTGCCGACGCGCACCCCTGGCTTGGTGCGTGGAGGAGGAACGGGCCTTACCAGGCTGACGACGCCCACCGTAGGCTTGGTGCGTGGAGCACGGACAGTCCGGACTGGGCTGACGAAGCACACCACTGACTTGGTGCGGGGAGCAGGAACGGGCCGGACCGGGCTGACGAAGCGCACCCCTGACTTGGTGCGGGGAGCAGGAATGAGCCGGACCGGGCTGACGACGCGCACCACAGACTTGATGCGGGGAGCTTGGATGGGCCGGACTGGGCTGGCGACGCGCACCACCGACTTGGTGCGGAGAGCAGGAACGGGCCGGACAGGGCTGACGAAACGCACCACAGACTTGGTGCGGGGAGCAGGAATGAGCCGAACCGGGCTGACGACGCGCACCACTGACTTGGTGCGGGGAGCTTGGATGGGCCGGACTGGGCTGGCGACGCGCACCACCGACTTGGTGCGGAGAGCAGGAACGGGCCAGACCGGGCTGACGACGCGCACCACTGACTTGGTGCGGGGAGCAGGAATGGGCCGGACCGGGCTGACGACGCGCACCACTGACTTGGTGCGGGGAGCAGGAATGGGCCGGACCGGGCTGACGACGCGCACCACTGACTTGGGGCGGGGAGCAGGAACGGGCCGCGCCGGGCTGACGACACGCACCACAGGCTCGATGCGAGGAACAGGAACAGGCCGGACCATACTGGGGACACACACCACTGGCCCTACGCAGGGATCAGGAACGGGCCGGACCGGACTGGTAACACACCCCAGTACCTCTCGCCGTGCCTCCACACTTTCCCTCTCCTCTGTGACCAGTGGCCCCCTTAACCTGGCGGCCTTCTCTGCCAACCCTCTGCACCACTCTATCCCGTACTCCTGCTGCCCCGTCGTCCACGGCGTGAGCCCCCACCTAAAAATTTTCTGGGCTTGTCTCTCCCCCGTGGACCAGGCCTCCATGGTTCTCGTCCAATTCTCTCTCCACTTCTCGTAATTCCAGCCTTTCTCCTCATCACGCTGCTTGGTCTGGTTTAGGTGGTTTCTTCTGTCACGATCGTCTACGAGAGAGGACCAAGGCGCAGCGTTGAAAGTGAACATAGTATTTATTAGACTGATCACACGATCAAAATAACTGACGAAAACGTGATGTCTCTGGTTACATAAACAAACCAAAATGAGAACAAGAAACCACAACACAAAGTGAAAAGACCGATAGTTAAATATGGCTCCCAATCAGAGACAACCAGCTGACACTCGTTGCCTCTGATTGGGAGTCACTCAGGCCAACATAGATATACAAACATAGACTTACACACCCTGGCTCAACATAACATAGTCCCCAGAGCCAGGGCGTGACAGTCCATTACATGAAATCTAAATAAAAATCAATTTAAATTACAGGTTGTAATGCAACAAAATAGGAAAAATGCCAAGGGGGTTGAATACTTTTGCAAGGCACGGTAAGTAACAATCCTTTGCATGAACTGCCAACATTATTACGCATATTAATTGATAATGATGGAAATTAAGATATGCAAGATATTTGAATAGATATATATTTTTAATAACTATACAGTGAAGGAAAAAGTATTTGATCCCCTGCTGATTTTGTACGTTTGCCCACTGACAAAGAAATGATCAGTCTATAATTTTAATGGTAGGTTTATTTGAACAGTGAGAGACAGAATAACAACAAAGAAATCCAGAAAAACGCATTTCAAAAATGTTATAAATTGATTTGCATTTTAATGAGGGAAATAAGTATTTGACCCCCTGTCAATCAGAACGATTTCTGGCTCCCAGGTGTCTTTTATACAGGTAAGGAGCTGAGATTAGGAGCACACTCTTAAAGGGAGTGCTCCTAATCTCAGTTTGTTAACTGTATAAAAGACACCTGTCCACAGAAGCAATCAATCAATCAGATTCCAAACTCTCCACCATGGCCAAGACCAAAGAGCTCTCCAAGGATGTCAGGGACAAGATTGTAGACCTACACAAGGCTGGAATGGGCTACAAGACCATCGCCAAGCAGCTTGGTGAGAAGGTGACAACAGTTGGTGCGAT